GGGAGGGAGGGAGGGAGGGGGGGCAGGCAGGCAAAAGAATGAAAAGGGAGGGGAAAAGCCAAATTTCATAAAAAGTAGAGTGATCAACATGTATGATATGAAAAACAGGTCCCTATCTTTGATTAAGTATGATGAGTGTAAATTTAAACTTTACTTATTCTGAGATGGACAAACCCTATTTTCTGACTTTATGTTGTCCACAAAAATGATATTATTTTATATTTAGTCTTATTTTTATCTTGACTAAATTTAATATTTGTAGAATAACCTAAATATGTACTTACCAGGGAAGCACACTTTTCTATTCCTTCCTACTCATTTGGAGTTCCTCTTGGTTTATTATATAGACTATCAGTGAAAAAACTGATTTTCTAACACACGGATTCTGTGTTACATACAGAGGTATTGAAGAATTTTCTGCCTAACCCAAGGGATCACAGATGCTGTAAGTTTATAAATACCATTCTTATTATCTCAAAGATTTCATCATAAGGTGACATCTTTGATTGCATTTCAAGAAAGAATGGAAAATATATCAAAATTAGTTCTAGACAATACGGTAAATGTGTTTTGGAGATAGTCTAAAATGCATTTAGAGTTTTTCATTAAAATGGAATCATAAACTCTGGGAAATATCCATGGTATAAAAAGAAAAAAACAATGAAGTGCAGAGAAATAAATCATGAGTGGCTGCTTTTTGCTCTCTTTAGATATACGTGACAGTAGAGTGTACTTTGACATATTATACATACATGGAGTATGACTTAGTATTCTAATTAAAATCCCATTATTGCAGTTGTACATGATGTGGAGTTTCACTGGTGGTGTATTCATAAATGAACAATGGAAAGTTATGTCAGATTCATGATTCATTCTACTGTCTTCCCAATTCCCATTTCCCCTCCTTTTCCTTCATTCCCCTTTGTCTAATACATTGAACTTCTATCCCCCCTTATTGTGTGTTAGCATTTGCATATCAGAGAGAACATTTGGCCTTTGGTTTTTATGAGCATTCTTTAGGTAGCAACTCACTAGGCACCTAATATTATTGAAGAGCTCAGCAAAACTCAATTAAGAATTATTAATGTATATGAGTTTTAAAATTCAATTCTTCCTGTTTAATTAAGAAAGGGGATAGCATCCAGCAAAGTCAATGTAGTATCAATGAGATATATTTGTACATTATACCTCTCATACCCTTTTATAGGAATAATTTTTTAGAAGACAGATTGTTATCCTTGAAAAATAAGAATTAGGATTCCCTAATAAGTATTTCAAAAACAGAGGGAGCCGAAGCTATGATCACTTTTCATGGGATTAAAAAATGAAAAGTTCAGTTTTATCTAGCCCAGATTATGAAAAGTACTTGGGACTAAAAGTGTTGTAGATTTTGTGAAATATTTTTTGAATTTTGAAATATTTGCATTCATATAATAAGCCATCTTGCAGATGGGACCCAAGTCTAAACATAAAATTCATTTGTTTCATGTACTTCTATAACCTAACCTGAATATAACTGTATATAATAATTTTAAAATACTTTTGTTCTTGAGACAATTTCATGGTGTGGGATTTTCTACTTGTAACATCATGATGGTACACAAAAGTTTTGGATTTTGGAGCAATTTGAATTTTGATATTTGAATCAGGGATGCTCAGCCTGTACAAAGATTGGGATTTAGCATAGGTAAAATATCCTAATGATTGCATTTTAGGTGTTTACTAAGATGGGTTCTACAAATAACGAAGAGAAACTGTGTTTTGTGTTAGATACAAAAATATAATAGCACTACCATTAAAATAGACAAGAACTTGCAATACAGTAACAAAATAGATCATGGGATTTTTTTTCTAACCAGAGTTTACACTGAGTGTGATTAGATAAGAGATGGATTTGGACATATATCCAGATTATAAAGCTTTTCAATGTCATTAATTCCCATTCACAGAAGAATGTAGAAAGGAAGGAAGGAAAGAAGGAAGGAAGGAAAGAAGGAAGGAAAGAAAGATTGATTGTTTCACTCTTACTAAGTCCTTGGTATCTTCTAGGACAAACATAATTGACATAACTGTTGTGCAGTTTGAAAATTACTTTTCACAATATTTTATTTGCTACCTTAAGTATGTCTTCTTTTTGCTGGGGTTTCTTTTTCTCAGATTCATCCAAAAGTATATCAGCCTGAATAATCCACTTTGTAATCTGATCGACGTTCTGGTTAAAGGTTTCCATGTGTTTCTGGTATTCCTTAATTGTACAAAGATAGATTATAACGTTATTTGATTAAACAATATTCTTAAATAACGTATCCTACTTTCTTTCTATAATTCTAAAAAGATAAAAATATAGCATCCCTCAAATTAATTTTAAGTGAGATCTCCATAAGAATATAGCATAGACAGAAAAAAATATGTTAAAATGTGGTTATAGAGATCTACAGATATAAATTTAGGAGCCAGTATGACTGTGGAGAGGTGGAGTCTTAAAATATTATTACTTAATGCTTGCATAATCTTTTTCTCATGTTAGAGATGGGTGGAGAAGCTTCCAGTCTCTTACCAACAAAAGATTTAACCACTCTTCTGCTCGGGAAGTAACAGCTATCCAGTTACTATTCAGAAGACTCAGTTTATCTTCTACCAAGGTCTCCTTCTTGCCCAACACCGTTTTCAAAGCCTCTCCTAGTTCTGTGACACTCTTCAAATGCAGCTTTTGCTTTTCAATCTCTTTCTGAGTAGCCTGTGAAAAGGACAGCACTGAGCTTTAAGTAACATATAACATTAGCATTGCATACTTGTGATGGGAATGTGTGTTTCTATGCTTAAACCTTGTAAATTTTTAAACCTACAACAAATATGCTTATGAAGCATGAAGTCACATTATATACATTGATTACAATTTCATTATTAGGGATACAGGAAAAATATTTATATATAAACATCATTAATTTCTTATTTATTCATTACTATATATTTAATTAACATACACAGCATCTAATTAAAAATATTTTATTTAATTTGTACATGTAATGAATAGAAATAGTCACTTGAAGACACATCCACAAATAATGATCTGCTTTGAAAAAATTCAACAGGTATGGTGCTATTGCATTTCTGCAGCAAGGAGGTTCAGCTTTTTTGTACCACTAACCTGTTTGCCATATGGTGATTAAACCCCTTCTAATACTAATGCTTTTAAAGGAATAAAATTAACAGGATCTTAAATCAAATCAATTATGCTGAAACATAGCATATGCAATATTTTATTAATTTTGTAATATGTAGTACATGTTTTCTCTTCTAACTAACTAACAAGGCCTACCATACTGATTTTTAGGATGTCTTCAGAGTAGTAATAAGCATAAATGGTATTTTTAAGTATATACAGTATATACAGAGACATGATATGTAATTGTCATTTCTGTTGGTGATAAAGTCAGAAGTATTGCTATCACTGAGGACTGTCACTCACATTTATAATAGAAAAATACTTAATTTCAAGATGTAATTTTTTTCCAAAACAACTTCACAAACCTCAGTTATACCTGTATATCCTAGATTAAAATCCCTAAATAAAGCACTATCATTCCTAAGACTTGATTTACAAAACTTGAGAACAATCACATTTTTAAAAAATTGTTTTAGATATACTTGGACACAATACCTTTATTTTATTTTTATGTGATGCTGAGGATCGAACTCAAAGCCCTGCATGTGCTAGGTGAGTACTCTACCACTGAGCCACAACTCTAACCCTAAGAATCATATTTAATATGAAAAAATACACAAAGAGTTGTTAGAAAACTGGATCCAAGGGTAGATATTTTCTGCCTGAACAACTTATAGCCCCTTTCTCTTTTTTTATAATATTTATTTTTTAGCTTTTTTTTTAAAGTGAACACAATATCTTTATTTTATTTTTATGTGGTGCTGAGGATCAAACCCAGTGCCTCATGCATGGTAGGCAAGCACACTACCACTTGAGCCACATCCCGAGCCCCTACAGCCCCTTTCTTGAAATGAGGAATGACTGACCACCATGAGCTTCCCTGTCTCTGTCTTCAATTTTTCCCCTTGTCTACCTAGACAGTGAGGTGTTGAACATTCACAGGGAGGTAAGCCAGCACACATTAGATTTTTTTCTCAAAAAAGGTTAACTGAGAGACACAACTACTACAATTAGAATGTAAGTGGGAAAGCCATTTGCAAATGAAGCTGATATCTTTATCACAGAAAGCCAAAGTCAAAACAGGACAAAAATCACTGAGGAGCAGCAATAATAGGAAAGCATAGAAAGTCCACCTGCAAAGAAGCAAGTAAAATATATGCACAATAGAAGTAGTCCAAATGAAAGAGGTGATCTCTGACACAGACAAGTCTAGATCTTGTTTTATTTTATTCATTTATTTATTTTGGTACTGTGGATTGAACCTGGGGATACATGATTATTGAGCCACACCCCTTGCTCTTTTTTTATATTTTATTTAGAGACAGGGTCTTGCTGAGTTCCTTAGAGACTAACTAAGTTGCTGAGGCTGGCTTTGAACTTGTGATTGTTCTGCCTCAGCATTCTGAGTTGCTGAAATTACAATCATATGCCACCATACCCAGCAAGATATTATTTCTTATTCCTCGATGCTCCCAGTATGGCTTTTCTATCTTTAAAATATACCTAAATATTCCTTGTCACTATCATTCTTCCAAACCATCTAGTTTACTCGCTATCACTGAGTTGTTTTTTTTTCATTTTTGTTCTTGCCCTTTCCATCAATAAGCAGGTAAGTGGAAAGAATACATGAGATAAAAAGATCCAATTAAAATTTTTATAAAGAAAGAATAACTGTTTAAATTGTATATTTCTTGCTTTTTAACATTTTTAGTTATAGATGGACACAATACTTTTATTATATTTATTTACTTTTATGAGGTCCTGAGGATTGAACCCAACACCTCACATGTGCTAGGCAAGTACTCTACCACTGAGCCACAACCCCAGCCCTCTATATTATACTTTTGCATTTTTATTTCTAATATAAAAATACCTGAAACTGAGGCAACTAAACCCTAGTAGACTTATACATTATAATAGAGTTATCTGCAATGTAGGTGTCATTTGTTGCACTTGAGTAAGCTTATCATTTCCTAAAAGCAATGTATTCACATATCCATCATAAATGTTTATTATACCCCTATTACATGCCAGTTACTATTTCATAGCAGTGTTATAAGTGATACTACTCAATGTATTTTGGAAGATTATGGAAAGTGCCCCATTGGGGGGAACCCAATCCCTCTAGAGCGTTACTTTTGAGTAGAACTGGACTAGATTTCAGCCTTTTTCAATTATTTGCCTTTCCCTTGGTTAATGTCCAAGCTCTACAATCACAGATATTGGTTAGTGTTCTAGGCACTGTGGATAAAATCAGAAGGTAACTCCTTATCTTTAAAACCCTTATGAGTACAGTTTGTCAAGGAAATATAAGTAAATGAGCTTTCTCTATTTCCTATACACCACACTAATGATTTGTTACTCCAGTCGATGTATTTGCAAAAAAAAAAAAAAAAAAAAAAAAAAAAAAAAAACCTCACAAAGTCCCAACTTAATTAAATTAGGATCTCTAATTATCTCTAAATGTCTTCATAAAGATGACCCTAAATTTTAGCATCAATATAAAATTATTTTGTATACATATCTTTGTTTCTTACATGCCAGGCAATGCAATTAAAGGCAATAAAATTTTCTAAACCTCAGAAGAAGTCATAGTAGTTTTGAATTTGGGAAATATTGCAAATAGGTCCTAGATCAAAACAACTATTATGTATCAAACATTTGCCCAAATCCTTGAACTGATTTTCAAAAGGAAATTTTTAACATCCATTCATAGTTAATTTAGTTAATAGGAATAATAAAATAGGGAATATGGGCTGATTACTTGTTAGGTTCCTCAAAATCATAAGATAACATGCTAAATTTTGTTAAAGTTATCACCATAGTGACATTTGAAAAAAAAAAACAATGATTGTCATTTTGTACATAACTGCTTATTGTTAAAAGTGATTCACAGAAAAATTTTATTCTGATTGTAAAAAAGAGACTTATAGGTAAACATTTATATTGATATTCAAAAAATACAATATATAATCATTTGTATAGGTGTCATTTGGGGTTAGGGAAACGTTATGTTCATTAATGGGGTTTATTTTCCCCTTCAAATAGGGTTTCAATCAAAGGTATAACTAAACAAATAATAACATTTTAGACTTCAAATGATATATTGACCTTACTTTCTGGACAGTCTTGCTAAAAATAATTCACTTAGTTAATGTATACCAGAGGCCTAATATTCACTTTATACTGTGCTATCTACTGCCACAAAAAAGGAAGTAATCTTTGCATGTCCTACTGTAATCATGCCTAAAGTGTGAAAAAAAAACTAGAAAAAAACTAGTTTTGGAAAAATAAATATGAACAATGGCTGAGATAACCATGAATGGCAACAAGGGAAAGGTGACACATGAAGTTGGAGGATTGGATGGTGTGAAGTAAAGACAAAGTGAAAAGTGATTATAAGGTATGAAGGTAAAAACAGAAAGCCACTAAAAGGGGAAAATCAGATCCTTAGTGAAAACTAAAGGCACACATTTTATGAGGCTATTCAAAAACCATTTCTTCTAGCTCTAGTATTTTCCCATAAGAGAAGAATGCCTGTGACTGCTGACGGATAAGAAAATAAACTAAAGGCATCAAGAAAATAAACTAAAGGCATCACTTTGGCCATTCTCTTTATATCCTTATTCATTCCACTCTAAGGGAGCTAGTAAGATAAGGAGAAGGAACTAATCATTCCTGGCAATTCCTCATCTTCAAAAGATCCAATTCTCAGTGCACAGAACCTCTTCTCTTGTCTCGTGAAGTGAGGGTGGAGTGGTTATTAAAGGTCTACCTTTCTCAAGGAGAAATGAGAAATTCAATAGCTAAGTTGACTAAGTTATAGCTCAACCCCTTCATTGTTCTACTCATGCAACTACTAGGATGGATTTTAAGTCTGAAGAAAAAGCAAGGCTGTATACAGTATGTTTTATTTTTATATGAGGTTGTACAAGTTCGCTTTTGGAGATTCAAGAGCAGCTAAGTGTGAAATACATATCTGACACTAAGGGTTTTTATGACATAGGAAAAATATCTGACACAAGGAGAATTAACTTAAATATAAACTGTTGCAAAATAGAACATATTTTTATTTTCCATATGTTTAATTTAAAACAGCTGATAATACCAGAATATTATGAATATTAAGTTCTAACTTTTCTGATTTCAAATAAACAAATTTGCTGTCTACCTTCTAGCCATGATGATTTTTAAATGCTACCTAATTTCTTCTTATGTAAACATTCTCTGTGTTCATGGAAATTATGAAAACTATATTTTGATTGACTCCTGATATCCATAAGTTAAACAACTATTGAAATTTTAAGTGTCATACTAGGTTTAGGATTCAGACATTAACCCATCACCTCACTTCACTGATGTCCTTACAGTATGGGAAAACCTGCTCCATTGATGTCTGATAATACCATCACTGATGGCAACATTTTCTTAAATGTAACTCAAGAAAAATAAAAGAACTGTAATATTTATCTGTACATATGTTTAGATATTTTTACCCAGGGATAGAAAACATAGTTTACTTGGGCTTCACCCACTTGCACACCTATATAACATTTTCTTAAGTTTTCCAA